TTATTATGTATATGTAAATACAAACACATGCATGTATATATTTAAGAAAAATGTTATGTTTATATATTAAATATATTTATATATACGGTAATAATATAAATATATATGTATATACATGTAAATATTTCCAAAATATATACTGTGTGTATTTATATATACATAATAAATAAACACAGTACACACGAATATATATTATGTAAACCAAACTTTTATTTTGGATGCGATTAATCGCGATTAATCGTTTGACAGCACTAATTCTAATTATTATATAGCCCAGAACAATTTAAAAGTACATCTAGCCATTTGCTACTATGAAAAAGGCACTTTCTAATTTATGTTTGTCATAATAATAATAACTGTAATAATAATATTAACCAACTTCATATAGAATTATTAGCCTATTATTTTGTTAAAACAATTTAAAAGTAATTTTTAGTTTCCAAAAAAATATACTAGCCACTTGCTCCTGTGAAAAAATGCACTTTCTAAATTCTGTTAATAACAATAATAATAATAAACCAACTAAATATAGCATTATCAGTAGTAGTAGAAATAGAAGAAGAATAGCCTATAGCCCAAATACAATTTAAAAATAAAACTTTTACAAATAACCACAACTAGCCACTCATGCTGACAAAAAAAATAGTTTGCAATAATGATTATTATTGATTCTGTAATAAACTGATGATCACACTCACCTGAGCTCAGCTCTGTATATCCAGCCATCAGCACCGATGATCACAGAGCTAAAGGTGCTTTCCGAAAACATTTATCAAATAAAAACCGTGAATATTATATTTCCTTTCATCTGACTCTGCTGTTCTTCTGTCAGGGATCCACGCTCACAAACTACATCAGCCTGTTCGTGAAGGCAGTTTCACACGCAGAAATATGATCCAAAATGTAGTATTCTTGCAATACATCCACTTCTATGATCAGATTCGTAGTTTATGGTTTGTAATTTCATTGAGTGTTGATTCAGGTCCAGTCAGCGCGAGTCCAGTTCATTCTCGCTTCAGCTCTGAGGTGATGTGAAGTGCGCGTGGCGTGAACCGTTCGCGCTATTAAAACACGTGACCTCATCAACAAAGCAAACCGACACCTGGATGTTATTTAAACGTGAAAAAAATCGCTAAACATAAAATATGCAGTATCTCTTTGAAGAACTTGTCCATCTCTCAAATAAATTATTTTATTAGTAGTATTGAAGTTACCGTTCGTCTTGTCTTTCGTGCTGAAGACGTAAAATACAATAGGGCCTATCTGTATATCCATGATGAAGCAACTGTATTAGAATTCCCATTTGCTGTTTTTCATAGTTGTTTGGCAAAAAATATTAATAGTAAAATAATAACCTGTTGCTGAATGGATTTCCAGCGCTCATGTGAATGACAAACACTCCCTCTACAGGGCTTCGTTATTAGTTATTATACTGATCTCGACCTGCTTTGACAAAATAAATTTAAAGAATTTATGTAAAATATTTAGAATAGTTTTAAAATATTTAACAATTGTTAAAATATGTTTATATTGAAAACTTTGAAAATAACTTCTTGAGGTAAAAACGAGGCTATTTTACATCTGAATTAAAATTTGATTACAACAGACGCTAATTTATAAAACGTATCATCTGAATCAATCTCGTTTAATCTGAACTGTAACATTTGCTTACCTAAAATATAATACCTGAAATATAATGTCTGAGCAGATGAAGAGCTCGAAACAAACTTTTTTCATTACATCCTGGTCCTACAAAGATTGATTGATTGATGTTTAATATTTTGATTGATTGATGTTTAAAATGTTTGCTGTTTAATATTTTCCTTTTTACCTTTTTGAGTTAAAATGCTTAAAATGCCGTGGAGGTGGATAGTTATAACATAAGTTTAAACAATTAATTTGATTAATAAAATAAATGCATGCTCAATATTTCAACTGAAATGCATGTTTTCTTTAGTGTTACAACCAACCCCACATCAACAGCATCAAGTTACACTTTTTAAGTTGTACATTTTAAAACAACTTGATCAATTTGGCAAAATTATATTAATGTTTTAGATTAAAAAAAAACACAAAGTTATACAGATGATAAAGCAATTAGTGTTACAAACATCTCCCCATATTTAAGTTTTAGAAAAGATTGTTTAGAAGCCTTGTAGAAACTGTGGAGACAGCAACTGCATCTGGACTGAGAAAGTTGGTGTGTCTGATGTTGTGTAAAGCCTGTATCATTTTCCTTTCATGTCTGAGAAAACCGTTGCCGTCAGGTTTCTCACTGTTAACTTTTTGGTGCTTTTTTCTTACCTGGTTTTTCTTTTGGCTATGTTTTACATTATGCACCATATAATGATTTTTTTTTTTTGATAGCATATGAAACGGTACACATTGTGCAACTAAATATAGTGTGCTACATTGTTGTCACATGACCTCTTTATGTGTATATTTATTTCTTTAGTGGCATCATGTCGGAAGTTAAAATGGTTATTTTTTTATTTTTAGTCTACTTTTGCGCAAAATCATCTTGGCAGTCAGATCAAACTGTGAGAAGCAGAATATATATATATATATATATATTATTTTTTTTTCTTTAAATGCAGCTGATATTAGTAGTTTATTCATCACTCTGCATATGTAATAGTTAAGCTGTTAAAGTTCACAATTAAACAGTATTCTCAGTTCACTTTATTGTGCTGAGATGACTACCATAACATCCTGTATCTGCTTTCATATTGAAGAACTTTTGAAATAAAGATTGCCAACAGCTTGTCTGTGGTCTTAATGAAATATTTCTCTGAAATATTCAGTCTGAAATATTTTTCAACAACTATAGTGAAAACTGAATCGAACTGACTGCAAAAACATGTTAATTACAAATTATATTATCAGTGTAATACTGCGTACTGTATTGCATTAAAATTAAAATATTTGATAAATGAATATGCTGCAAAATGTATATTTTAAAATAATAATAATACATAGACTTTCTAGTATTTGGCTTTTGTTTTTTAACCGTATAACCGTAGCTGACATGAACAAAAGCTGATTAATATATTCAAAAAAAATAAAAAAATAAAAAAATAAAAAAATATATATATATATAAAACTCTATTTATCAACCCTGTTACCATCATCATAATTCAACTTATTAATGTGCAATGTACAATGTGCATTTTTATGATGTACAATTCCATAAAAATAAATAAATAAATAATAATAATAATAATAAACTCACCATTTTGTCAACGTCTGTCTTTTTACTGTAGCCTATATTTTGTTCTGATTATCTGTAGAGGATCTTATGTAGTCAGTCCTATTATGATTTTGTACAATAAACACTGTTACATAGAGCCTGACTCCCTCTACCGGTCAACAGTTTGAAGTGCAGTACCTTACTTATTTTACTTTACTTATTACATTATTTATCTGTTGTTATCACCAATTTAAACCGCTAGAGGCCACTCTATAACAACTATCAGTTTCATCATGCAACTTTTTTCCTCTGATGTAATTTCCAGTTAATGTTGTTAATAATATAATATAATATAATATAATATAATATAATATAATATATCTCTCCAGCAGAGTTTGGGGTTTTTCTGGAGTAATGAATCAATCTCAAAGTGTGTGTGTGTGTGTGTGTGTGTGTGTGTGTGTGTGTTAGACTCGCCTTGATTTAATTTTGGGGAATTTGTAGCCCATTTGATTCCAAATTGCTATGAATTCAAATCTATGTAATTACGCTGAATGTTGTCACTAATTAGGCTGGTTAATTATCAAACTTAATTCAGATCTCCTTTGATTAGCCTATAGTAGGGAAACCAATGCAGATAATGCAGTGATGATTTTTTTTTTTTTTTGATGCAAACATTCAATTTTATGAAAGAAAAGATTGCTTTGAATCTGACAGCTTATGAATTCCTCAATTTCCGGTAGAATAGAGCTGGAGATTCCTCATATCCTCAAGGAGAACTCAAAGAAGAGAAGACATGAAAATGACAGGACAGCTGTAGAAAAGGGGGGAAATTAGTATCTATCTATCTATCTATCTATCTATCTAATTAGCCCATAATAGACCCTAATCAGGTTATACCATTTTTAATTTAACGCGAATGAAAACGAGGCTGTGAGGGACAGACTTGCAATTTCTGTTGTATAAAGATCCTCAATCAATCAAAAAAAAAAATGTCTAGGCTATAGCATTTTCGTCTGAATTTTTTTCTCAGAAAGACGTTTCGTCTGCTGAACAACGGTAGGCTACACTGTACTTCAGTCCATCACAGCCTCGTTTTCATTCCTGTCAAAAACATAATAAGGTCTATAAGTAATTTAGTGTAACTTCTGGTTATTCACATTTACTACCCGCCATAAAGTAGGCATATTAACTAAGAATGCCCATTCATCTCCCTCCTCTACCTCTCGAACTTTCCACCCAATCATCCTTCAGTCTGTGCTGTAGTATTTCATCGACCCGTGTTGCTATATTGGTCAGAGTTACTGAAGCGAGCTCAAGTGGCCATCTGTGTAGATTAGACCATTATCCTCTTAACTCCGAGTGTCTCTGTCTTCTCTCCTCACCGCTTCGCTCAAAAACGCTCTCAAATAAGAAGAAACTTTAAGTCTGGGGCTGATTCGCGGACTTTGGACAGCTGCTCTGGCGCTCCGTGGATGCTGAAGTTCTCCAGAGTTGATCGCGGGTGTCTGGGCTCCTGTGGGGCCGCACATGAGGAGCGTGTCTGATCTGCAGCAGACAGTAATCGCATCAGACCGGCTTCGCCGTGCATACAAAGACCTGCAACAGTCTGGATCGAAAAAACGCCGTTTTTTGTTCTTAAGGAGTTTAAAATGAGGAAGAACTGCATTTGAAACTCAGATCGGGATCTCAGAAGCATAAAGGATTGAAAATGCGCCTCCAGGAGAGAGTGATAGTGCTTCTTGCAGTGGTGTGGATGTGTAATTTCGCTCTTTGCGCAAGAAAGTCTAGTGCGCGCAAGTCAGGTGAGTGTCATTTTCATTGCTCATCTTCTTTTGTCAAAACGCAGTTGTTCTGATTATTTGGGTATGCATACAGTGACCTCGACAAACTAGACACACGTGAGCATGTCTGAATGTCATTGCATTATATACAAAATAGCAAACTGAGTAACATTTTTATTTTTTCATCTTAACTTGTGTTTTAATCAGCTGGTGTTTGGTGATTTTTGGGTGATGCATAAAGTCATTTCTCCCTGACTTCACATTTTTGAACTGTTTAGCTTTATCATGCAAGCATGCCTTTTTTTTGTAGCATGTTATCCATCTTTAAAATCAATGATATTTATGTTGTTTTTTTTTACCTAATGTAATGACATTCACACATTGTTAAGCATGCATTTGGTTTCTAAATACTTTTTGGAGCCTCTCTATGTGCCATAATCCACTTGATGCATGCAGGATGAATTTTCAGGCTATTCCGATGGATGGATGTACAGGTGATTTGTCACAGAGACATCTGGGGTCGCAGTCATACGGCAGGGTCAGCACTGTATGGCACGTCCGTATACCCTCCGGACAATCTCATGCCCAATGCCCATGGCCAACAATTTAGAGTAATGAAAACCATCAGTCATTTCAGATAAACAAGCCCTCTGATAACTGACACTTCAGACGAAATGCTGCAAATTGGTGCTTGTCCCTCTGGTACCCTTGGGTATATGGGAATACTTAACCTTAATGCGCTTTTTAGTGGTATAGCCAAGGAACTGGGAGTGAGATTTACTTCGGTGGTCTTGATTTATTGAAAGACTAACAAATTCAAGCATATAGAAGTTACATATACACTTGAATCTGTTAGTATAGACAGGTTTGGGCCAGATCATGTTAGATCTTGAGGTTACTGCCCAACCTCTTTCTTTTATGAAAGTGGAAGGATTGAAAGTGCAGAAGTGGTTCTTGCTGGACTATTTGAAGTTGGTCTGGGTAAATGTAATTTCCTTAAGTTTGATTGCATCATCTGTTGGAAAAGATATTTGCCCGGAGCCTTTTCGCTTTAGTTTGTATTGACTCAGAGTTGTTAATGAAAATTAGACATTTTTGGTCTGAAGGCTCTTTTAAAAGTTTTCTTACCGTCACACACACTTAAACATCAATTCCAATTTTGTTGCTCAGTTTTCTGTTGCCTAAAAATCCATACTTTAATGATCGCTACATCTTTCTGGGTTGCTCTCAAATTAAAGATGCTGTTAAATCAAATCTGGTGTATTGTGGCTTTAGTTTGTGTCTGTTAGCTTTGGGTCCATCTATATATGCTTGTGTGCTGCTCAAAGTTGACAAAACAATATATATATATTAAAAAAAGAATATCTCTCTCCATAGTAGGAGCTGCTTCTGGCTAGCAATTGAAAGCTGTAAATCATGGGCTGTTCAGAAAATGCAGTAAATATGTATTGTCCACACTGTTTAAATTTTCTAGTATGCATACAGTAAAATATTAAGTGAGCTACTGCATTTTCCAAAATATGTAGCAACAAAGTATGTTGCATGAAATACCGAGTCAGTGCAATGCTTTCGACTTTCCATGTTGGTCTGTCACATTTGTTAGGACTCATTATTTGACTTATAGTGCAGCCTGTTTTGATTTTTGAGCTCAATAACACATGCTTTGTTTGCATGTTTTCAAATTAGTTTCAGTTCAGATTGGTTTGTTGGTTTATTTTCAGAAGGCATCATTTTAATTGCGCCACTAAAACGCCTGCAACTCGCAAGATCACATGGAACGTACATCATCAAAGAGTGTATTAGTCATACTCAGTCAAATTACTTGATATCTCTAATGACTATACAAACCTTTAAAGTAAATGTTTTGATGTGTGTTTATTTTGAGAGAAAGCAAATGATCTGAAAGGAGAGAGAGAGAGAGGTGTGTTTGGAATAAATCCATCTTTAATGCAAGCTTTGTGAATGTGTCAGGATGAGATGATGATGATGGGCTAACGGAATGGAAACCGTAGATGCAATATTCCTATATCTGTGTTGGTAGATGAAACCAATATAAGAGCAAGTTTTGTCTTTGAACTTGCAGTAGCAGTGGCTGCATGTTTCACTGGCCATCAGGAAAGATGATCGTGCTGTTGTCTTCCTGTGACGAGAGCTGCAGCGACATTCACACACACTGAACTGTCCATCAGCGCTGTAGGCATCAACTTTTCACTCTGAGAGAGAGATTTTAGGAATGACCTTGTCCACACGCATCATCTGAAATGCATCTAAAATGAGTCTGGTTTTCTTTAGATGTTTCTTTATTTTGTTCTTTCTTGTTATCATGACCTTTCAAATAGGAATAGTTCATCCAAAAAAGAAAATAAGCTGAAAATGTATTCAACCTCAGGCCGTAGATGTAGATGAGTTTGTTTCTTCATCAGATTTGGAGAAATGTAGCATTACATCACTTGATCCTTTGCAGTGAATGGGTGCCGTCAGAATGCGTCTCATAAAGCGAAAAGCTACACATTTGTAAGAAACAAATCCATCCTTAATACATTTGAACTTCAGACCGCCACTTCTGGCTAAATGTGACCCTGGACCACAAAACCAGTCATAAGGGTAAATTTTGATAATCCATAATAAAGCTTCCTCCAGTGAAAAAGTCCATCGCACATCAAAATCCACCTACATACTTGTTTAGAACTATTTTGGACTGTTTATAAATGGAGCTTGATCTGTGCATATTTCTCTCCTGATTCAGACCAGATGCCTTTTCATTGGAAGAAGCAAAATTATTGATAGAGGGTTTTCACAGTGCCATATAAGAACCATTTTAGGTTCAAACATTTTTTTTTTCCTTAGTGTGAAGAACATTTTAATATTATAAAGAAACCTTTTACCCTCTTTTTGTCCAATAGAAAGGTTCTATGGATGTTAAAGATTCTTCATGAAATCATAGATTCCAAGAAAGCACCTTTGTTCCTAAGAGTTTACTGTACATAAACAAATGAATGCTAAAATGTTGATTTTGTTTCCTGTTGTTGCTGTCAGAGAGGTTAAGTCCACCGCTGGACATTCAGCTGGAGACGGTGAACTGCACTGCATTCAGTGTCCGGTATGGTTTTGATATTTATATGAGTTCACCATCAGGTCCAGTCATACTGAAGTTCCATTCGTTGCCACTAGTGGCGCAGAAATGGCACACTTCTTTAATTACAGACAGAAGTGTTTACTAATTGACCTACTGTACATGTGTGAAGAAGTGAAGTGCTTTGGGTTTTCCCTCTTTATTTGTATTTGTATTCATCCTATTCATCTCTGGTTGCTTGTTAGGTTACTAAGAATCTCTGTGTTAACATGTTAATGCTGTTATGGTTGCTTATGGGATAAAATCCATCAGGTATCTTTCTGTTGCCAGATTGTAATTACAAGGCTCTCTTATTTTTGCTCAGATTTCCACACTAGTGCTGTATAGATGTAACTGCAGGAATGATTTGACAATGATGGGCCATTCTACATGGTGTTCATGTAAATATGTATTTATTTTATTGACCAGGTGTTTTACACGGAGATGAGGAATAATCGCCCGACTAGCAGTGCTGTTGCCCTGGAAGTCCCATTGAGTTTGGAAATGCTCACAACTGTATGTCCCATCGCTTTAAGATTATTATTGTTATTATTATTATTATTATTATTATTATTAATAATAATAATAAATTGTTGTATAATATAAATGTGTGTGTGTGTTAGTGTGTATATGCATAAATAATAATAAATAATACATAGAATAATAAACTATGAATTGTCAGAGTATAGTGATTGCGAGGCTTCAGTGTAACTTTACCACAGTTGAAATGAACAATTTGACTTCAGCAGAAATGTTGTTTCATCTTACAGGGACAGTTTGACGGCCAAGCCAGCTTTGTGAGTGGATGTTCAGTATCTGTTTCTCTGTTAGTGCCATATGGTGCTGTCTTGCATGCTAAGCTGTTCCCGTGTGTCTGTTAGGATGTGGTGATCGGGAACCTGAAGGTGGCCACGCAGTACCGTGTCAGTGTGGGGGCGTACGGCTGGGCAGGTTTAACTGTTAAAAAAAAAAAAATCGGTGCCTCTCTGCTAATTGCATAACATATTGATTGTTTGATTCAATTCAATTCAAGTTTATTTGTATAGCGCTTTTTACGATACAAATCG